CATGTGCCTTCACGGCCCACTTGCACGTTATTTCAGGAGGCAGAGTAAAAGGGAAGGTATGCTCCTGTGCATTTCTCTTCAGAGCTTCATACTCCTGTTCATTTCACTTCGGATCTTCAGCTTATACAGTCTTTGTGTCCGTCCTTCATCTTCATACTTCCGTTCATTTCATTTCTGATCTTCATATCGTCTGTTTTCTTAATGATGCTCATTCGTATGTATTTGTTAGTAGCACAAAGGGAGTGGAGGGGAGTGTGCGTGTGTGTGTGTGTGTGTGTGTGTGTGTGTGTGTGTGTGTGTGTGTGTGTGTGTGTGGCACACTGTTACCCCCTTTTTCATGTGCCGCACGGTGATAACCCGGTGGTACTTTTGTGGAGCCATCACAACATTTCCCGGGGTAGCTGTTGTGGGCCATTGAGGGGCGCCCAAGAAAGGCATGGTTGGCCCACACCAAAGGGCCACCCCAAGAAAGGTATGTGAGGCCAACACACTTTCTTTCATGCACGGCATAGCAACGATGCAGTGGCATGTCCTTTGGGGCCATCATGACATTTCTGTTGTGGGCCGTTGAGGGCTGCCCCAAGAAAGGCACGAACAGCCCATACCAAAGAACGAAAAGAAGAAAGAGCTCGTGAAAACAAAACAGTCTGCAGCCCTGAGAAAACAAGAAAGAAGCACTACAAACTTGGAGAACAACACTCACATGCACCAACCATAAATCGCAACTGCTAGTAGTTTGTTATAGTTAGTTGATGGTGTGGAGGTGGTACCCACAGCGAATTTCCAAATTTTACATATGAATAGGTGTGCTCACCCAACCCGGTCGCTGTCACGCCAGCCAATGACGACTAGGAAAGATTCAAAGAGATCATCCAAGAGTTGCAGATGTGCTCTAACAGCACACGCTGTGGAGGCAGCAGATCTGCATTTTGCTCTTCTGCATTCCGCATTTCAGGCATCTCCACTTGGACACATGATGGCACATTACCAGATGAGGGTGGCAGCTCTCCTGTGCTCATCTACATCCTGTATTTCAGGCATCACCCATGCCATGATGGCTCAGGCTCCAGCTCGGTCTGTCTGAGTAAGAGTGGAATCGGACACATATCCCCTGCTTGGAAGGCAGACAAATCACCTTTAATCTATATCCGCTATTTACATTTTGGATTGATTGACTCGGGCCTTTCAAGCTGGGTGAACGGGCCTTACGTCTACCTATCTTTACTCGAAAACAGAGAGGCAACCGTCAGACAAGCTACTAAATCCAATTTGCTTTGTAGTCGATGGGAAAAAAAAAAGGCCCGGATCTTATCCTCACTAGCGATGTGTTTGATGGCGTGGCAAGAAAATTCGTGGCAAGAAAATTGCAAGGGGCGTCTTTGCTTTGGATGGATGTGCAATAAACTGCAGATTCCCAGCGGTCTGTATAACTAACTAGATTAGTTTTGTAATATTTTGGGTGCTACTGGGCTTGATCCCCTGACCTGTTGTGGCATACGGCGCACCACACGGGCCTGCAGGGCCCGACCAGGCGGAATAAGGGATAAGTAAGGGCCCTCCAGGCCCTGTGTCGTTTCAGCCTAAAAAGGAGGGCCAATATTAGGCCCTCTTAAAGTTGACCTTTCCTGAAACTTAGGCGCCAGACCAGGGATAAGCGCAGGCCATTTTTACCCCCGTTTCAAGACAACCTTTTTTTGAACTTGGGCGCGAGGGGCTGGTGCGATTTGGCATTGGCAAGAGCAGCCTCCCAGCCGGACCAGCGCTATATAGTGCTGGTCCGCCCAGGAGGCAACAGGTAGTTCAGGAGGCAGTCTTCGGACATTCGGCAGCAGCACTCTTGGGAGCGCTGCAGTAGTAGTAGAGTACGATAGTAGTCTTCAGCGCTGGGCGCTGCTAGGACCTTAGAGTAGCGTGGAGAGGGAGGAGAGTGGCGGAGGCCAGGGAGACTTACCTGGGAGCTGACCTGTGACGCCATCACTCCAGCTTCGTCTTCGATGTACCTGCAACCAGGCGCCACGTTTCACAGGTTAGTACCTGGCACTGAGAGAGAGAGAGAGTTATTCTTCTTCTTCCTCTTTCTCCAGTCCACCATCTCTTCCTCACCCTCCAGCTATCTGACTTCTCAGTATCGGCAGCCTACGAGAGAGAGAGAGAGAGAGAGAGAGAGAGAGAGAGAGAGAGAGAGAGAGAGAGAGAGAGAGAGAGAGAGAGAGAGAGAGAGATTTGTGACTTCAGGATGTTGACGAAATTTGGATACAGCCTCAACCTTGGGACAGAGACATTGATGGGGACTATTTGGGATCGATATCAACGACATTGGTGTTGACGACATTCTCATCTTCTCCCTCCTTTTCGTCTGATCCCCTCCTCTTCATCTGTGCATGATTTGGCCTGGCACATTCTTCCTGTGTGTAGCACCAGGCCCTTTCACACCTTGCGATGATGATGATGTATGTTTTGTCTGCATTGCGACATTGATTGGTCTGATCAGCGCTATTTTAGCCTTCCACTGCGCTATCCTGTACTATGTGAGAGAAGTCGGTTCTTGTTCTGGTCTGCATCATTACGGTATGCGACAGTTTGGTATTGGAGCGGACCTCTCAATCAGAGGATCCGCCCAATCAAGGAGCCAGCTTGCTTGATTGACTTTGATTGATTGTTTATTAGTTAATCAAGTAGGGCTTCGTCAAATCTCTGCAAAAACAAAATCCGCAACAGATCTCCGGAACTTCGGATATTAGCATTTCGTTTTTTGTTTCACTCTGGGCATATTAGGTGAACTAGGGAGGTCGTCATATTCTCGGAAACTGGATCTATTCTTCTCTGAAAGTGGAACCTCCATCCTATTTCGCGCAAAAAAAATATCTTTTTTCTCGCGATCGCATTTTATTGAAAGCCGAAACTTTGCGAAACCTTGCCTAGATCTCGCTCATAGTACTCCTCCGAAAACGCCTCACTAATAGCCGACCGACAGATATTCACAAAAAAAAGAGAGAAAAAAAAGGGGGGGGATCCTCTTCTTTTATTTTTTATTATTATTTTATGTCCTGTTGATTAGGACCGAGAATGGAAAGTGCAGTTTGGTTACCTTCCTGCTTTTCCTTCCCACCCAGCCCTTTGCCTGCGTCCCAGTTTGGTAAGTGCCATGTCAGCAGCAGTGCCACATCAGCAGTGCCACGTCAGTACCAGAGCCATGTCAGCAGTGCCACGACAGTAGCAGCACCACATCAGCAGTGCTACGTCAGCAGCACCGTGGTAGCAGTGACACGTCAGCAGTGACGCATCAGCAGTGCCCCGCCACCACGACGGTGTCAGTTTTGGGCATGCCAGGCCAACTGGACAGCGAGTCCATTGCCGAGTTCCGACAGCGGATCCAAGATCAGCTCCCACAGATCGAGGCTGAGGAACAGCGCCAGGCGGCAGCCGAAACTGCCCGCCTACAAGCTGAAGCGGAGGCAGCGGCTGAAAAGCAACGGCTTCAGGCCGCAGCTGACGCAGATGCCCAGGCGCGCCGCAGGCAGGCCCAAGATCTGCTGCAGCGGCACAAAGCCACCAGCGTCGACAGACTCAAGTTCTGGCACTTTGAACCATCCGACGCCCCGACGATGCAACACCGGAAGAGCAGCACAAGGAGTTTCTCTCCAAACTCGTGACCCCGTTGGTTTACACTTGTAACCACCTGCAGTCCGAGTTAGAGAAACAGCACCAGGAACTGGAGAAGCTCCAACGGGCAGTGCAGAGCCACAAGGACCTGCACGAGGATGCCACATGGGCACTTCATACCCGTATACAGGACTTGGAGCAAGCAGCACCAAGACCGGATGCTGGCGAACCCAGCAATGCAGCCTCAAACCGCCAGTTGGAGCAACGACTCGACCATGTACTAGCGATGCTCGGCGACATCAGCACCTTCGCCTCACCAGCCTCCATCAGCGAGCAGCTCGACACCTTGAAGAACAAGGTTTGGCAACTACACCAGCCACCCGACAACGATGGCAGCACCAGTGCATCGAGGCAGTACAAGATGCCGACGTTCCAGATCAAAAAGTTTGATGACTATACGCATCAGGACCCGGTCACCTGGTGGCAAGGCTTAACGACGGAGCTTCGGATTCATCAGGTCCCCGATCACTTGTACATCCCAGCGTTGTTCCTCAACGGCAAGGGCGGATGCCAGATCTGGCTCAGCCACATGGCAACCATCCACGGCGTCCAGGTCGCCGACCTGCACAAAAAGATCTCTTGGGAAGATCTGACGAAGGAATGGAAGAAGCGGTTCATTGTTGACGACGCCCCGACGCTCGCCACCAACCGCCTCTTCGCCATGACTCAAGGCAACACACCGACACGCGATTGGGTCACGGAATGACAAAAGATCGTGGCAACACACGATCTCGACTTGCCATTTTCGCATCTGCGCCGGGAGTTCTACAACCGGTCGTTTGACGCCTTGAGCCTCACACTCGGCAATCACGAACAATACACGACCTTCGCTGAAATCATGGACAAGGCTCGTGAGATCATCAAGACCAACCGGACTGCTGCACACGAGAAATCCGTGTGGCAGCCAGCCCATGTGTGAGATCATCAAGACCAACCGGGCTGCTGCACACGAGAAATCCGCATTGCAACACACTCATGGCACAATTGTGGGATTACTTGCACACCGCAGTACCAGCTCCGTTGATGGACACTGGAGTAGAAGTTGTTGACCTTCGCGACTACCTTGAGAAGATCGACTGCGAGTTCAAGAAACAACGATACGACAACAACGACCCGCCATTGCTGTACATACGCATTTAGATCGGAGAAGCGACCTGCAGCGCTTTGCTCGATTGCGGAGCTACTCGCAACTATATGAGCCAAGATTTCCTGGTGCGCGCTGGCTTGGGGCCACGCGTTCGGAGGAAGTCGCAGCCCACACAAGTCACGTTGGCCGACGGCCACAAGCACAAGTCAATCGACCGATGCATTGATTTTGTCCCCATGTACTTCGCCCCGCATGCAAGTGAGGCCGTGTCCTTCGACATTCTGGACACCAAGTTCGACATGATTTTGGGCATGTCGTGGCTGCAAGGCGAGGATCACCCAATGAACTTCTACCACTGCACCGTTCACATTCGTGATCGGAACGGAGTACTAGTCCCGTGCACGGTGCCTCTACCTCACCCTTCGATCAGCTGTCACGTGGTGTCCGCCGCTAGCATCCGAGCTTCCATCACCCAGGACGACATCCATGAGATGGGTGTGTGTTTTCTCCACACCCTCCCTCCCCATGACATCCCATCGACGGACGCATCGACGGACCCACGCATCACCGAGCTTCTAGATGCATACGGTGACGTTTTCGAAGCCCCGCACGAAGTAATACTGGATCGGCCAATCCGCCACGAGATCATCCTCGAGGCCGGGGCCGTACCTCCGCGTGGTTGCATCTACCGCATGAGCGAGTGTGCTACAGGCACAACTCGACGACCTTCTGAAGAAAGGCTGGACTCGCCTAGCTCTTCGCCATATGGCGCTCCCGTTCTCTTTGTCCGGAAGAAGAAAAAGGACTTGCGGTTGTGCATCGATTATCACAAGCTCAATGCGCAAACCGAGCTTGACCTCAAATCAGGATATCACCAACTCGAGATCCGGTGGTAGGACCGCTACAAGATCACGTTCAAGACGCAATATGGGCATTTCGAATGGTTGGTTATGCCTTTTGGCCTTACGAATGCCCACACCACGTTCCAAGCGGCTATGACGACAGAGTTCTGACACATGCTGGACAAATTGGTACTCATCTACCTCGACAATATTTTGGTGTACAACCGGAGTTTGGACAAGCATGTGGAGCACCTGCGTGTCGTTTTGGAGCGACTACGACAAGCCAAGTACAAAGCCAACCCCAACAAATGTGAATTTGCAAGGCAGGAGCTCGAATACTTGGGCCAATATGTGACGCCGCAAGGCATCCGTCCGCTTGCGGACAAGATTGAGCCCATCCACGTATGGCCCGAGCCCACCAACACCACGAACGTTCGGTCATTCATGGGGTTGGCAGACTATTACCAACGCTTCATCACCAAATACTCAAGGATTGCCGCACCATTGACGAGATTACAATTGCCAAAGGTGCCATTCGCATTCGACGACAAAGCACGCCGGTCATTCCAAGCACTCAAGACGACCATGCTCATGGCACCCGTCCTTAGCATCTACGACCCCACCTTGCCAACGAGAGTGACAACCGACACCTCCGGCTATGGTATTGGGGCAGTCTTGGAACAACACGACGGCGACGACTGGCATCCCGTGGAGTACTTCAGCCACAAGATGCCTCCCATCAACTCACTTGATGATGCAAGGAAGAAGGAGCTGCTCACGCTCGTGATGCCTCTCAAGCGATGGCAGCACTTCCTCCTTGGGCGTCGTAGGTTCACATGGGTCACTAATAACAACCCGTTGACCTACTACAAGACGCAAGATACGGCGAGCAGCACTATCAGACGACCAATTTGTCTTCACACCGAAACATCTCGCCGGCCTCTCCAATCGCACAGCATGTGCACTCTCGCGAAGACCCGATCTTTGCGCTATGACACATCATGCCTTTGTGTTCGACGAGGAACTCCAGCGGCACTTCATCCGGGGCTATGAGTCTGATCCGGATTATGCCACACTCTATGCACAACTATCTTCGGATCACCTGCCGGCCAGCCACTATCGCATCGTCGACGGGTACTTGCTTCTCCACTCACGAGGAAAGGACTTATTGTGTGTCCCACGAGACCGTCGTCTTCGGACTCGCCCTATCAACAAGTACCACGACTCGCGATTCGTCAACCATTTCGGAGTCAATCGGACTATCGCACGACTGTGGCAACGATTACGGTGGCCCGATGTCAGCACGGACGTCACGAGATATTGCGATTCGTTTGTCGACGAAGCAAGCCCCACAATCGCAACCCTTACGGCGAATTGCGCCCGTTGCCTATTCCCTGGGAAACCGGCCTCTCCATTGCTATGGACGTCACCGGCCCGTTTCCCCGTGATCGCTTCGGGCACGACGGCATCCTCACGGTCGTTGACCGTTTGAGTAAGATCGCGCGGCTTCTTCCATGACAGTACTACGCCACAACTCCCAAGCTCGCGCGGCTGTTACACACCGGTTGGATCTACGACCACGGTGTTCCGGAAGACATCGTTAGCGACCACGACACTCGGCTCATATGGGCATTTTTGACTTCTCTCATGAACGAGTCCAGCACCGAAATAAAACCAAATTCGGCTCGGCACCACAAACGGACAGGCAAACGGAGAGAGCACATCAGACTGCTCAAATGACGCTTTGTACGCTCATTCGTCCGGATCAGAAGGATTGGGTTGACCGCCTCCCCGACATCGAGTTCGCCTACAACACTTTGTTGCACCCAGCCATCGGCGTGACTCCATTCACGTTGCACCACGGTGGCCAGAAAGGCCGTATCTTCGCTGATCTTCTGCTCCCACGAACTGCCAATATAGACGCCGCTTGCTCTCCCGCCTCTGTCCGGAAGTAAAGGGAATTGCTAACTCAAGCCCGTGCAAATATGCACAAGGCTCAAGTCCGCATGCAGCAGCAACCCAACAGGCGTAGTGTGCCATGTCCCATCCGCGCCGGCAATCTTGTTTGGATCCCTGTGGAAGAGGTTGCGCTCGAACAGGATGTTTCGTGCACACTACTCCCCAAATGGTTTGGACCATGGACAGTCCTTTCAGCCGCAGACAACGAGCCCGACGGCCCATCCTTTGTGATCGACATCCCTTCGCATCTGCCGGTCCATCCAATCTTTCACGCCTCGAAGTTGGCGACATACACACCAGCCAAGGACGATGACTTCCCGCGCCACCGATCACAGGACTCTCGCATCTGCCGCAAACAACGACCTCGACGACCCATCCTTTGTGATCGACATTCCTTCGCATCTGCCGGTCCATCCAATCTTTCACGCCTNGATCGACATTCCTTCGCATCTGCCGGTCCATCCAATCTTTCACGCCTTGAAGTTGGCGACATACACACCAGCCAAGGACGATGACTTCCCGCGCCGACAATCACAGGACCCTCCATCCATGGATGGTCATCAGGAGATCGATCGAGTCGTCACGCACCACAAGTACAGCAACAAGCCGATGCAATACAAGGTCTCATTCAAATGGTGCAACCACGACGACACAAGGTGGATTTCACTAGCAGATTTGCAAGCATCTGCACCGCTGATCTATGCCGACTACGAGCGACGACGACTAGCTAAGGAAGCTTCACAACCTGCCCCTCCCACTCGGACTTTGGTCCCTCCCTCCAACAGGCAGCTTCGTCCTCACAGGTAAGCTCAGTCTTTCAAGGAGGGGGGGGGGTGGCCTATTGTGCACCACACGGGCATAAGTAAGGGCCCTCTAGGCCCTTTGTCGTTTCAGCCTAAAAAGGAGAGCCAATGTTAGGCCCTCTTAAAGTCGACCTTTCCTGAAACTTTTTCGCCAGACCAGGGATAACCGCAGGCCATTTTATGCCCGTTTCAAGACAACCTTTTTTTTAACTTGGACGCGAGGGGCTGGCACGATTCGGCATTGGCAAGAGCAGCCTCCCAGTCTGACCAGCGCAATATAGTGCTGGTCCGCCCAGGAGGCAACAGTAGTTCAGAAGGCAGTCTTCGAAAATTCAGCAGCAGCACTCTTGGGAGCGCTGCAGTAGTAGTAGAGTACGATAGGAGTTGTCTTCAGCGCTATGTGCTGCTAGGACCTTAGAGTAGCGTGGAGAGGGAGGAGAGTGGCGGAGGCCAGGGAGACTTAACTGGGAGCTTACATGTGACGCCATCACTCCAGCTTCGTCTTCGATGTACCTGCAACCAGGCGCCACGTTTCGCAGGTTAGTACCTGGCACTGAGAGAGAGAGAGAGAGTTCGTCTTCCTCTTCCTCCAGTCCACCATCTCTTCCTCACCCTCCAGCTATCTGACTTCTCAATATCGGCAGACTAAGAGAGAGAGAGAGAGAGAGAGAGAGAGAGAGAGAGAGAGAGAGAGAGAGATTTGTGACTTCGGGATGTTGACGACATTTGGATACAGCCTCAACCTTGGGACAGAGACATTGATGGGGACTATTTGGGATCGATATCAACGACATTGGTGTTGACGACATTCTCATCTTCTCCCTCCTTTTTGTCTGATCCCCTCCTCTTCGTCTGTTTATGATCTCGGCCTGGCACATTCTTCCTGTGTGTAGTGCCAGCCCCTTTCACACCTTGCGATGATGATGATGCAT